CATTAAGACAGAAAAAAGAAAGAAAATAACAAACCATCAGTTCAGGTGTTTTATAAAAAAAAAAATGTCTTTGTTTAAAACTGAAAGATTGTTGCTCTCTACTCCAAAAACAATTTAGATTTTAAAATGGAAAAATATTCTATTTTTTAATATTTTTTATTTAAAAAGTCAATGGATGCATAAACACCTCATTTTATTTCAGTGTTAAATTCTGTTTAACAGATTATAATTAAAATTGTGTCCAGACCTTTACTGGTTGATGATTTTCTTTATTCAGACCCCGATGATTTTTAATTGGTTTCCCCTGATTTAAAACCTGGAACTAAACGCTATTTCTGACATTTCGAACTGAAAAATGTTCTGGATGGGAAGCGAAACATCTTCAAACTTGGAAACAAAGTCCAGTGGATTGTTTTTTTTAACTTTTTTGGTTTTCTTCAAAGGGCAAAGCAGCTGGCGGGCTCCTGCGTGCGTCTGTCTCGTGGGCCTCGGGCCGTCTTCTCCCGCATCCTGCTGCTCTTCTCTTTGACGGACACCATGGACGAGGAGGAAATGGCCGCCGGCGGTCAGAATCAGCTTTTTACCATCCTGCTGGTCAACTCGGGTCGTCTGGCGTTCCCAGACTACACCGTGCAGCGGGTTGCCAAGGTGTTCCGAGATCGAGAGGATCTCATCAGGTGAGGGGATGCAAGAAGTCCTGAAATACAAAAGCATTTCAGACCAGTGTTGGTTCTGACAGCCATCTTAGATTTAGTCGTAGTATTCAGGATGAAAACTGTTGTTATTTTTAGTCATTTTATTTATTACTATATGTGATTGTTTTAGTCGGTTTAATGTTGCACTTCATCATAAAGTGAACCCTTACAATTTCAAATAACGTCCAGATTCTTTCCCAGCCTGCAGCTCTATCCTAGATGCTACAATAGCTGGGTATAGAATGTTGTTGTGCAGATCATCATTGCTGTTGGGCAGAAAACTTTGATTTATAGAATTCAAATAAACCTTTTTATGAATTAATGCATGTATAAAAGTGTGTCACAAAAGCTGTGAAAATAGCAGATCTAGTTCAACACATCATCTTGGTTAAAGGCATACTATGCAACATTTTACAGTTAATTAATGTGTTCCATAACGTTTTGGATGATTAAATGAGTCATTTCAGGTCGAACAAATGTTTTCTCTAGCCTCTGAGACCATCCTGATCTCGCGAGCTTTCAAGGTTTCACTCGCAGATCAGTCTGGAGACTCTCCGTTGAAGAAAATTTGGAGC